TCAGACCAGCATCAGACCAGCATCAGACCAGCATACCCCGTCAGACCAGCATCAGACCAGCATACCCCGTCAGACCAGCATCAGACCAGCATACCCCGTCAGACCAGCATCAGACCAGCATCAGACCAGCATCAGACCAGCATACTCATAGTCAGTATGCATGCTCAAGACATCAGATTTGTGTTTATCTCTTTAGTTTTGTACGGAAAAAACTATTTAAGGTCAGATCACCATAACCAGTGGCGGTTTTAGACCAAATGTACCAGGGGGCCAGGAGGGGGCCAGGAGGGGGCCAGCTTGTTTTCATGGGGGCATTACACCATTATACATTGATAAAAAGTTAATGTTACAATTTATGTATTTAACTCAGAAAAAAGGTCTTATTTTAACCCCTTTTTCAAAAATGAATGTTTTTTGTTTTAACTTACTGTTAAAAGAAACAAATTTTAAAAATCTTATGAATCAAAAATGTTAAAATCCAAAATCGTTTAAAGTCTGGTTAACTGCCATGTGATATTTTTTCCTCTGCAGTGGCGGTTCTAGACCAAATGTACCAGGGGCCCAGGAGGGGGCCAGGAGGGCCAGCGTGTTTTAACAAGGGCCCAGAAAAGCATGAAATAAAAACAGGGTAGGAATTTAAGTGAAATTTCTATTCAATTAAGTTTGATTAAACTTCTATTTCTTATTAGGTCATTATACATTCATAATTAAGGAATTTTACATATTGTTTACTTTAAGTCCAAATTACAGTTTTCTAAAAAATCTGAGTTAGAACTCAAGAAAAATTGATAAATTCAGCTGTAAGAATTTTTTTTATTTTTTTTTTTAAGTTTTCAAAAAAAAAAACATTTAGCTAATAAAAAAACTGGGCTCCTATCTCAATACCACTGAAGCTATCATATTATTGTTTTAAAATAATTAGCATTATGTCTTCAGTTCAGGAGCCATGAAAGGGGCCAGGACATGATCTACAGGAGCACTGGCCCCCGTTGGCCCCTGTCAGGAACCGCCCATGGCCATAACCTTTGAAAAAACCCCAAAAAGTAATTAATAAACAGTTTTCTGTACATGACATTTCCTAAAAAGGACTAATGGGATAAATAGGTTTAGACTCTGGGTATGCTGGTCAGACTGGGTATGCTGGTCAGACTGGGTATGCTGGTCTGACAGAACACCGGCTTCATGGGCCGATTCTTTCCCTCCAGCTAATGTGTTTGGCAGAGAGCAGAGCGGACAGACCGGAAGGAAGCACAGGAGAGAATTGAGAAATGCTGGCAAGCACAGCAGAAGTTGAGAGAGGAAATGAAACATGTAAAAATCAGTTATTTAAAACCAAACTAAACAGAGAGTATGGGGGATATTTTAGCTTTAAATCAATGCATAAATAAAACACTCCCTCTCATTACGGGTTCCTAAAGTTAAGCCTTTCCCAACGGGCTGGAAGGTCTGCATGGTTGAATGAAGCTGAGTGCGTCCTGCTGCCATGCCTGATGTCCGCAGCAGAAACAAGGAAACTACCCAAGAAGCAGGCCTCACAGCATCTACGTTTGTCCTCTGCCAGCTTCCATACATGCTGACCACTCTGCTGCCACACAGCCACAGCTGAGGGAGCTCATTGATTTCTGTTCTTTTGCTTCAGCTCAACTGCAACATAAC